CCCCAAAAAAAATGGAAAATAAGGAAAGTCGATGAAACAATTGAAAATAATAGGGATCAGCCGCGTGCTGTAACTATAGAAATAACGTAAGGAAGTCATGACAGTTCAGTACAAAATTGTAACCTTTAAAGTTCCCCCGGAACTTGTGCCTTTTCATGAGGCCAAAATTGTAGCTGGTTCACTCTACGAAAATAATGTGAAAGATGAGAGGATGTCATCTCTTTGTTTGGGGAGTCGAGTTTTTTATTTTTCCTTTTTGGGGGGGAGGAGGGAGGGGTAGTGTGGTTTTCCATTTTTGGAGAGGACTTTTTCTGTTTCGGTTTGTTTTGGGGGAGGACCCACAACCAAAACTGAAACCGAACGTTTATCGTTTGTTCTCAAATTCCCTCCACCCGCATGACCCTTGCGACCCCGGGTAGCACCGAGCAAAGTTAGTGAAAGGGTTTTCACCGGTGCGACGAACTGTCCTATTATGTGTAACTCAATAGGCGCTGGCCTTAGATAAATGCCCTCTATATATAGATGAGCGTGGGATCTAGTTCGAGCCCGTCTGTCTCTGCCCACACAGTGGCGTTATTAGTTATCCCCTCGTGACAAGGCTCTGAGTGCTGTGCACTTTTGCCCAGAAGCGGTAGAAATGAAAACGACACGAGCAAGAACGTTATAGAAAAAAATAGTGATAACTTTATAGAGTTCAGAACTGCAGTGAAAATAGTATAGACGGGTGCCGGTGGCTATGGAATGGCGAAGATGAGGGGTGCTTGTGTTGGGGGAGGGGGGGGGTATAGAATGATGGTCTTCGACTTGGGTGTTCAAGGTTTGAATCTGAATGGTGTCTAGTTTGTTTTTCTTGGCGTTCCTGGAATAGTACTTGTCAACACCTTGTTAAGACGAGGGAACTTAACAATGTGTTTCCGCAATAACCTATATTGTGTCTTGGAAGGGTGAGAGAACTTCAACTAACAAATACTGTACAGAAAAAGGCATGGGGATCGGAGTTGGGGCCGCGGTATGGGGTACGAATTTAAGATACACCGCAGTGTTGAGATTATTTTTTTCCGTCATCCTAATCTGTTTAAATCTCAATTCTCAAGTTGATAATCATCTCTTAACTTGGGGGGGGGGGGGGGGGCAGGGGTACGTGCCCTACCTGAATAGCCCATGCTTTTTGTAGACCGTTAACCTGAGACTGGTTTTGTAAAACAACAAAACAACCGGTCTAAATTATTCCCAATTCCATCTCCGTGCTGCTCTCCATTAGGGAGTACGTAAGCGCGTGTAAATGCCATTGAAAATGGTTCAGGTTCTGAGGTAGAGATTATGGGTACTATATTTTTTTTTTAAAGTAGAACGACACTGGGGTCTTCCAATAGTCCTCAGTTTAGCGAGAGAAAGGGGTTAGTCGAGACAGAATGCTGCCAGTACTCCTAGAACTTGCTCTGCCCTTGCATTTGGGCTGGTTTTCTTTTTTGATGGGTTTTCTTTTGTTTTACTGTTGCCTGATTGTTTTGCTAACTTTGGTTTTGATCATGGCTGGTCTTTTCACACATGCCCATGTCTTTGTCGTGCTCACGGCCGGCATACAGGGTACACGCAACTATGCCCACTTCTCCCCTTTATGGCTGACCATATTCAGGGTATGTAATTACTAATTTTATGGGATTTTTGTTGCTGACCAGTGACCAGGGTGCCTCTTCGTGTTTAGAATCACGTCCTTGGTAGATTTGTGCTCGTTATATGAGCACTTGCGCCGATCCCTTTATTACTGTGTTGTTTTATCAGAATTAATGTGGCTGGTCATTCGTTAACTGGCGCGGCTTCAAAAGGGTGACTCTCTTTCAAAGTACATGCACGTCTGCCGAGACACCAAAAAGCCTTATGTGTTGGTGGCCATGCCCTTATAATGTTCTTTTTGAAGTTCAAGCATTTAGTGTGGAAAGGCTTTCTCGTGGTAAAAGTAAAGACCTACCAGATCGACCAAAATTTCTGAAGCAAAGATGCATAATAGGGGTCAACATGTCCGAATGGAACATTAGGAAAAAAATAAAGGTTAAAAAAAACAACTAGTTGCGTGTAGCCTGTTTGCATCCCTCGTGGCTGGTTGCTTGTGGTAGCTCGTCCTTGTTTTTCTCTTTCTAGCTGCTACCCCTGCTACCCCGTCTAGCGTGTTTAGTTCCTCTCAGGGATCGGTATTCCATTACGCGGCTGGCGGGGGAGGTGGTGCTGGTGGTGGTGGTGGTGGTGGCGCCCCCTTGTGCCCGCCCCAACGCCAATTCTCCCGAGCCTCTGTTGGTCAGCGGGGCTGGGATTACGACCCCACCTACGCCACAATCCCGGAAGATATGGTGCTCACCTCAGGTAGGCAAACCAGCCCCCTGTACACCAAACTAACTCGTGAGATGGGGAAGGAGGAAGGGGGGAGGGGCATGGAGGGGAAGTCCTTGGTAGGCATGAAGAGGAAGTAGAACGGAGGAAAGAGAGACCAGTAATGACGATAATAATAATAATAATAATAATAATAATAATAATAATACCTTGCCGTTATAAGCACTCTATCCCAGACAAGTAACAGGTGTAAGCTCTCAGGGCTTAATTAAGTACCTTCACCCATGAACCTCAGGCTTTCTCCAAAGCTCTGGCGCTTGCTATTTGGATAATTTCGGCGCAGTGGTTTAGCTTTTGGCCTTGTACACACACAAGACGTGAGCTTGATTCCCTCGTGGGTGGAGGAGGTATCTTGTCGAGTGTCTCCGTCTTTATTTTGGGATGCTGTATCTAGCACGTCAGGGTTGGTCCCCTGGCTGGCAGGTTTGAAGCAGGCTGCCTCATAAGTGATCAAAGAGAGGCATTTCCCACCTTCTCAAGTTTTGGACGCGACAACTGCATTGACAGTCCTGGTGGAAAAGATCCCACCAGGAGGGGGGGGGGGTTGCTAGGGACTGAAAGTATATAGGATAAGAACTATTGAAGCTGTTGGAGATTAGGAGGGGGGGAGGGCAAAAATTAATATGTTTGATTTGCATATTAATTGGTAAAGGGGGTCGAGATAAAAATGTGTATTATGAAATTGACCATTCACCTAACAAAAGGGTCAAGAGACTGCCATTATGTCGCTCAAGATTTGATACTTGACGGTTAAATGGATTGTGGAGTCGAACGGGTCACAATGGGGAAATAAAACTGGCTTGGTAGATTGTTTTCATCCTTTCATCGGGCCATCTGTATAATTGTTTTAACGTAACGCATTCTAACATGGAGGGCTCATGGCAAAAGCAATAACTTTACATCTATAGTGCCAAATATTAAAACGAAATGTGGTAAATCATTGCCCTTATATGCTTATCCATTCTGGCAATATATCTAGTTTGCCCAAAATCTTTATTGTATGGCGAATTGTGAGAGGGAATCATGTTTCCTTCATTTAAAAAAAATTGTTTTAGGTCAATCAATTTAGTTGTAGTGAGCTTTGCCATGGGGTCCTTCATGTTTATTTTACTGTAGCAGTATTGTCATGATATTAAACATTTACAGCGTTTGGCGGGGTTTGTTTTTGGTCGGTTTTGTTTTGGTAGCATAGATGTTTTTTTTGCACGTTTGGTTTGCTCATTCTTATTTTACTACACCTCTCGGTGGAAGTTTGTGACATGTTTTTCCTGACGCCATATTATGCTGTTCTTTGACTGTTGTGTGCATGCATTCGGTGAGTCTCTTTTTGCAGTAGATGTAGTTCTCTCGTGTGTGACTTACTCACAGCAATGCGTGCATTTTGAGAGTGCTTCTTTCCTTCTCTCTCTCTCTCTCTGCGCTCTCGTTTTTGGCTTATATTTTGTTTTTCTTTCTCTATCTCTTTTGGCCTACTGTGTTTTTTCTCTATAAGATCAATATGTATAGTACACATGTGGTATTGTTGAACTTGTAATTATGTAGGCATTGCTTTCTTTTTGTGTTGGAAGATAATTGTATATTTTGGTAATGGTGTTTGAGAATGTGGTTGTAATATGTTTTTTGTGCTTTTATCACAGATAGTTTTTATCTTCTCATACTGCTTCAAACATCCCCCCCCCCTTTTTTCCTGAAACAGACAACCCCGTCCCCCCACCCACCCCTACCTGCACATGCACAAATGCTTGCGTGCACGCGCACACACACACACACACACACACACACACACACACACACACACAAACAGACACACACACACTCACACACACACACACATGCATACACGCACACACACATACACATACACACAAAGTCCCCCACCCCTCTATTTATATTTACAAACAAAAAAAAAAAAGCTTGATACTGTTATCTTTTTGAGGGTGCCAGTGGTAGGTCCTGCACTGGTGTACAATCCTTTTTTTGGTTTGTTCTCCTTTATTGTCTCCATTTCTCTTTTTCATGTGTGAAACGAAAGTTGTCACGGCAATGTTCTTCTACGTGACTCTGACCATTTTGGTGAATTTTTGATAACATTTTGTCTGTTGAATTGGATGATTTGTTAGTGCAGTTGAGTATATCCGCCACCTGATCAAAGTTTGCTAAGTTGATGATGATGAGAACACAATGGTAACCCCTCCCGCTGGTGGCCTTGCCCCCGTGTGTTTCTCCTCAGTAGTGGCCCCTCAGATGATCAACCAGGTGGGAACTCTGCACACGTTGCCTCTACCGCAGCAGCAGCAGCAGCAGCAGACTATACAGTACCAGCAGTACAGCCAGGTGCGTCAAGATAATAGAAATACAATCAAAACTGTCTATGACGGCCATACATTGTTGAAGAGAAAAGTGGCCATCTTAGACAGGTGGGCTCTCTTACACAGTGGTATGATGATGTAAAAAATATGCAAAGGAGGAAATGGGAGGAAATGGGAAGTGGCCGTTTGTACAGGGGATTGTCTTATACCGGTGACTGTAAGAGGTGTTTCGACTATATGTATGACAAAAGTGAAGTCAACAGAACCGTACCAAATGCTCCATGTAACACCCTGTCATATGTCACTTTTCAAAATGGTACATGCGACAGATTCTTACAGTAAGCTGTCGATATGAGCCTTTAAAATTAATGCTACACTTCTCTCAATCCTGTGACCAAATGTGCATGGACTTGGACTTCGATTTTACTGTTCAAAATTACTTAATGAGTTCAAAATTACTTGTTTTTTTCCACAAAACTTCTAGCTACTACTCACCTCTGTGCGGTTCCTACTTGTCAAAAGCAACCCTTGCTGGTAGAAATGAATGATGGTCTGCCTACAATTGTTTCATTGTGTATGCTTTGCTCTTCTGCCCTTCTCCCAGTGATTGAGGTACAGTCGAATCTGCTTTAACAGCCTACTGTCCAAGACAATCATCTGTACAAACGACCACTTCCCACTTCCCCCTTGCATTATCTACATTATAGTGACACTGTCCTAGATGTTCACCTGTCTATGGCAACCTTTATTCTCCTCATCAGTGAGTGGCCATCTTGGATCATTTTGATTGTGTGTGTGGTTACAGCATGGTAACTTTTTTTGCCTTTTTCTTTTCCATCTGCATCCGCACTGCAGTTATTGTTGCGACTCTGTAATATCCTCTTATATTGTCTTGCTCTCTTCTAACAGTCGCAGCAGTACCAAACCCACTCCAGCCACCACGACGGCCCAGGACAGGGAACTCTGCACATCGACACCAGCCCCAAGATGCTGGTGGCGCCACGGAGTCCATCCAGGTAGGTTACAATGTGGCATGGAGGAATTCTGTCTACATGTGGCTAAAGCATTGAGATTGTTTGTCTACATGTCACTGTAGCGTTGAGGTATTCTGGCTACATATTTCTGTAGCGTTGAGATTTATTTATGGGTACATTGTTGCCTGTAGTGTTGAGATATTTTGGGCATATATTTTTGCAGCATTGAGGTAGTCTGGCTACATTGTTGCTATAGCATTGAGATATGAACTTGCAGAAAAGTTGAGAACGGTTTTTTGTTTATTGGATAAAATTTGTTACGTTGAATATATTTAGAAGTTAATTATTTGAACATAATATAGTCTGTAAAGTTCTGAGAACTGCTGTAGTGAATATTAAAGTGAATATAACCAAAGAGAAAGTTGGCCAAAAAACGTAGAGGGGAAAGTGTGGTTGGTGGGAATGGATTATATTTGTTTAAAATTTGAAATTGCTTGAGTACAAATTATATTGATGACATTTGATTCTTGCTGTCTCTCAGTCCCCCGTCCCCCGGCAACCTGAACACATTGAGACAACAGCTAAGCTCTGCCCACTCTATGTCGGGCTCTGTGGTCAGTCCGGGACCGCACTCGATGACTGGACAGAGCTCCCCCAGCGTCTACTTTGGCCTGTCCCGACGCGGAAGTCTCTCTTCATTGGCTGGTGAGTTTAGCTTTAGAGGAGGCGGTTGGGGGAAAGCTTTGATAAACTGTAACTTATGTTTGTCTGCCTTCTTTATGTCAATATAGGTAATTGGTGTGATTTTTAGGTCAATGTAATATTTTAGTAGCCTTATGGTGGGGGGGGGGGGGTTGCACAAAGGTCTATCATTTGTTTTTTCAGATGTATTTTGGACTTTTATGAAGTCATCACATGACCATTATCTACCCTTTTTTGTATTTCATATTTTTTATTTTTAAGGGGTTAATACCATTACTTTTTTGTTTTACAGAGTTTCATATCTATTTGTGTGCTTCGTTTATGAAATGGTATTCTTTAATATTCTTACTTTATATGGATCTGTTCATGAAGGAAGATCATATTCCATACCATCAGGTCGTTATGGATGGCAATGTCTTCTCTGATCGGAGATCAGGACTTTTGGGTTATTTTTCTATGTAACTGATGAGACAATTCACACACTCAGATTAGCATTTTGAAGCAGAGACAGTAATGATTCTTTGTTGCTTGTTCCAGATTCTGACATGGTGCATACCACCCCCAAGTTTGTGAAGGATACCTCCAAGTACTGGTACAAAGCCAAGATTTCTCGGGATGATGGTAGGTCACATTACATCATGATTCTTTCTCTGGCCGTTCAGTTCTCATTTACCTCTTGCTAGTTCCTTGAAAAGCACAGAAAGACCTAGACGAATCAAAAAGTAAAATAATGAATGTATGCCACTGTATGAGACCATGGTTTTGAAAAAAAGTGACTTTTGACTTGCTATTTTGTTTTAGCTTTGTTGTTTTGACACTCACAAAATGTTCAAATGACGTTCTTTTCTGCTGAGGATGATAACTGTCTTTACTTAAGCTCTGTCTGGAAATGACAGTTTAGTGTAAGATTCTGCCATACTCCATTTTTAAAAGTGATGTATGATGGAGTCATACACTGAACAGTCGAAATGCATTTTTTAAATCCTACATGAGAACCTTAGTACTGCTCATGATATTTCACACTGCTTCTAGTTCACCATTGTAATTTCTTCAACCTCTCTTTACAGCCATTCAGATGCTGAGGGATAAGCCACCCGGCACGTTTGTCATCAGAGACAGTAATTCCTTCCCAGGAGCGTTTGGTCTGGCCCTCAAAGTGGCCACCATCCCAGCCAACGTGCAGGCCAAGCCGTCAGGCGACCCACAGGCCGACTTGGTGCGGCACTTCCTCATTGAACCCACACCCAAGGGTGTTCGCTTGAGGGGATGCAGTAACGAACCTGTCTTTGGTCAGTTTGTCTTGCTAATTGTAATTCTGGTGGGGTTGTTGTAAATAGGAAAAGAAAAAGATAAAGTGAAGAAAGTTAATGCTTTTATTTATTAACAGGAAGTTTTCTAAGGCTCTTAGTACATCAATGAACCTGTCTTTTAGGCGGTAAGTCTTACTTATTCTAAGACTTTTGGATAAGAAGAGGTAGAATGGAGGAAGCAAACACTCTTTTCAATTTAAAAGTAGTTTGTTAGGGCCATACAAAACAACAAAGCACATAATACAGTTGAACCTGTCCCAAATGCCCACCTATTGTCAAGGAGACAAACGGTAATCTTTGGTAGTCTTCTAGGACAGTGTCAATATAATGTATAGAAAAAAATGCAAGGGTGGAAGTAGGAAGTCTTTGTATGGATGTTTGTCTTAGACAGGTGATTTTTAGAGCAGGTTCGACAGAATATGAAATGTTTACCCTTGCTTTTTACCATATGGGAAATGTTCCTGCTGTTGAGGGGGCCTGGTTTTCCACCTGTCGCTGATCAGTTTCTCTCATTTCACACATACACACACACAGACACATAGAGATACACACATTCATGTAGATGCACACCACACACATATATATACGCCCTGTCAGTATAATGTAAAGTATCAACAATTCCTCTCTTCTCCTTCAAAGGCTCTCTTAATGATCCATTTTTTCCCTGTGCCTCTCCCCCCTTTTACAGGTAGCCTTGCTGCATTGGTGTACCAGCACTCAATGACCCCACTCGCACTGCCCTGCAAACTGGCTCTTCCTGAAGGAGGTAAGTTGCATTAGATTAGACGCAATTAAGAATTAGTTCAGGTCAACGAAGAGAAATGTGGTCAGGATATACCAGATCTAAGTTATAGTGATTACTGAGAGAGAGGGAGAGAAGCAGGGGTTTGAGAAAGAAAGAAAGCATAAATGTTTATCTTGTACTTGTAGAAATGTTTGTTACTGTTATAGCCGTCAGATAGAAAGTGTGCATTTATTGTTACAATATGAGTAAAGTGTGTCATTGTTACAATAGGAATAAAGTGTGTCATTATTGCATTTGGAGTAAAGTGTGTCATCGTTATAATATGAGTAAAGTAAAATGTGTCATTGTTACAATAGGAGTAAAGCAAAGTATATCATTGTTACAATATGAGCAAAGTGTGTCATTGTTACAATATGAGTAAAGTATGTCATTATTGCATGAGGAGTAAAGTGTGTCATTGTTACAATATGAGCAAAGTGTGTCATTGTTACAAAAGGAGTAAAGCAAAGTGTGTCTTTGTTACCATATGACTCTATATGAGCAAAGTGTGTTGTTCTTTCCAGACGTTGTAGATGGTCTGATGACCCCCGAGTCTCCCATGAGTGCTGTGGAGCTCAACTCTGCCACCACGCTGCTCACCCAGGGGGCTGCCTGCAACGTCATCTTCATCAACTCTGTGGACATGGAATCCCTGACTGGGCCTCAGGCTGTCGCCAAGGCCGTCAAGATGACCTTCGACAACTTAGCTCAAGGTCGCACCACCGTTGTTCACTTCAAAGTGTCCAATCAGGGCATCACCCTCACAGACAACAACAGGAAGTGAGTAGTGGGGACAGGCAGCTTTTAGACCGTGGTCATGAGTCTCATGTGTTGTGGGGTTGTTCTGAGGGTGGTAGGGATGTGGCTATCATATGCGTTTAATTAAAATGTCTTTGGAAAGCTAGTGGGTGGTTGGCGGGTGCTCTGATGTGGTTTGCTCCTTCTTTTCTATCAAACATTCGAACATCTATAGTCCTTATCTCTTCTCCTTTTTGTGTGTTTGGTTGTTGTTGTTTTTCTTGTATCACCTCTAATCATGAAGTTTTGTGACCTTATTATGTTGAAAGTGTTGTAATACTCTTACTAAGACAAATGAGAAAGTTGCAAATGCATTTCTACTCCTGGTGAATGTGAAACCAAATAATTCTGATGTCTGAATAATAACAAGCCTAGAACTCAGAACTTGTGTAGATGGCCAAAACTTCGTTTCATGGTTAGGAAGATGACTTAGTCAAGAGGGTGGATATGATGTGGAGAACATTTTTTTTCTCATATATCTATGCAAATACCCTTTTTTTCTGAAATAACTCAAATTGCTACAGAAAAACTGCCCCCCTTTCCCCCTTTCTCTTCTCCTATTGATGTCCATCGTTCATACCATGAAATATATGGTGTTTGCTCAATTCTCTGACACAGTTGAATCCCCAATCTAATCTGCAACTCATCTGTGACTGTGTCTACTTTCTCAGGTTGTTCTTCAGAAGGCACTACCCTGTCTCGGCTGTCACTTACTGTGGCATGGACCCCCAGGACCGACGGTGAGCCGCATTTCTTTCACTTTATTCTTAACATATTTGTACTGTAAGCAAATTGATGTGGTTTTAGTCTTGTCTTCAGACTGCAGATAGTTTTTTCGCTGCCACCACTTATTTTCATCATTGACGTTGAGATCAGTGTATATGTGCATCCTCTCAATTTTATATTTCTCATCTCTGCTCACACACCACTGTTAAGTTGTAGAAAAGAGGATGTCTTTAATGGCTTAAAAGTTTAATCCCAGCAACCTGATATTTATAACCGAAAAAAACAACTTAGAAAGAAGCCCACAGTGGTATGGATGATGTTATAATATGCATTCTGTGATAAGAAATGACAAGCAACATCTCACTGCGCACCAAGATTCGACTCCATAACTGCAATGTCAAGTCTGTGCTCCTCTGCGGCTGCGAAACTCAAAATACGACAAAGACAGTACTGAATAAAGTCCAGACTTCCATCTACATATGTATGAGGAGTATCCTAAGAATTAAGTGGCAGGATAGAATAAGAAATGAAAAGCTGTGGGAAAGGACTGGACAAAGGGATATAGAAGTAGAAATAGATCTAAGAGATCGGCGATGGATGGTACACACTTTTAGAAAGCCCAGCGGAAACGTCGCAAGACAGTCGCTGCAGTGGAACCCACAAGGAGCACGAGGCAGGGGTCGGCCACGGGAAACATGGAGGAGATGTGTGGAAAGGGACATGAGAGAGATGAAGCTCACTTAGAACAAGCTTGGAAAGATGGCCCAGGACAGAGGTAAATGGAAGGAGCTTGTAGGTGGCCTATACCCTGCCAGGGGTGGAAGGCATTGATAATGATGATGATAAGAAGCGGAGCTCTATATGTGTTGGTGGAAAGCTCAACTGATGTGGGGGGGAGGTGAGGATTTCCAGACATTAATGTTCAAGCAGCTATGTAAGAAATATGTGTGAACTTGCCTTCGATGTATTTCTAGGTAAATGAAATGTTGATGGTGTGCTAAATTTTTCTGTTCTTTTTCACTTTGCCCACAGCTGGAAGCGAGAAATTGATGCCCCAGGAGTGCAAGGGGATGCAAGGTGAGTTGTCTTCTTATGTGACAGGAAGATTTTTTCTAGTACAATAATATTAATGGTAAAGCGCGTAGAGCTTAATGTTGATTTGGGCTATACAAATGGCTATCTATTACTATTGCTATTGTTATTATTTTTGTGTCCCCCCCCCTCCCTTAGTGTTTTCTAAACTCCAACGTCTCTTGCCTCCTCTGTGTCTCACTTTCATCACATTTTTCATTGAAAGGATGAATGGGGTCAGTAAGGTAATGGTTTTGCTCTTCACCCGCTAATAAGAGATAGATCAATTTTTTGGTGAAGTATTTCCACCTTTTGATTTGGGTGTATCCCATCAAGTGTGGTATAACTTCGATGAGAAAGTTCAAAGCAGCTCAATTTTTCAGTGATGAAACTTGTATTGATACGGCTTTGAACTTTGAATACTAACTTATGATGATCAATCTTTTGGGTGTGGTAAGAAGATTGGTACTCGGCACAAAGAGGGAGTGTGGAGAAGGAGGAGGAGAGGGGGGGGGGGGGTTGAGGAGTTTAGCTGGGTTGGTTTTTTTTCTTTTTCTTATGAAGTGACCACTTTTGCGTGAGAATTGAATTGTAGCACAAACTCACACATGACAGGAGTCTTGCATAACGAAACTTTTTGGGATTTTTTCTTCAGACTGTTTGGCTTTGTGGCGCGCAAGCAAGGATCAGCCAATGAGAATTCTTGCCACATCTTTGCCGAACTGGACCCAGAGCAACCAGCGTTCGCAATAGTCAACTTTGTAACGAAAGTTATGATTGGCCAAAGCAAAGTGAAGTCATAAAGTGATCTGATTGGATAGTTTGAACTGACGTCTGCTTTCATCAGCCATCTTCAGTCTATCATCGCCTTCATTCATATTCATACACTTGGTTTTCATGAACATGTATCATATTTTCTCTCATCTAAGACTGGGACTTTTGTAGCATCTTATGTTAATGTGTTCTGTACTATCAGTACTGTGAACTATTATTCAATTGGTTGTAATAGTTGTGCGTTTGTTTCCTGGCAAAGATTGACATAAATCCTATGTAGGAAGTTTTTCACTAAATTTCAAGGGCAAAGATGTATGTGCACAATACAGTGAGAGATGTCCTCTGATTATAACCCAGTGTATGTAGACCTGTACATAACCCCCTTATTCTATTTAAGCAATAACGGCCTTGGTGGTTTCATGCTGCAGGGCTGCCATTTTATCAACAGCTTTTTTATTACATGTGTTTTAGCTGTGTAGTCTTGAGAGAAACTCAAAGATGTGTTCTGACGTCACTTCACGGCTCAGACATGTAGCAGTCATAGCTTCGTTGAACACTGTTTTGTTTTTGTTTAGTCTACAAATGTTTTACTCTCAACCTTTTACCTCTTGCTCGTCATGTGTTTTATCTTCGGGGGCATCGTCCCATAAAGCTTACGTCTGCTGTTACTGACTTTTTCTGAGACCGTTGAGGATTGGACCTCTTAGCCCTTCATCATTTTTACTCACGCATCGTAGCATTGAGATGTTGTAGCAAAACTATGGTTATTGTCTTTTCTACCTGGACTTGCTGTTTAAAATATGTGATGCTGTGAGGGGTAGAAATATCTTTAGGGGTTAAAGGGCATTCAAGCATAATGAACTAACATAAAGACTTTCCTGCGTGGAAGATTTGCCGTTGCCAAGGTGTTTATGACTGGCTTTACAGTGAGTTGCTCGCTGTTGCCATCTCAGTGGTGCAGTTAATGCAGCTTAAAAGCGGAAGTTTTCATGGAAAAACTGGATTAATGTGTTTTCCTCCGTCAGTCTCTGACATTGTCTGCACAAGATGGGAGTCAGGTGGACATTTTAAAGTGCATGGTTGCTTCACTCCCTCTTTCAAGACAATGGAGAGCAACAGAGAAATGAAAAGGCATGAGCTGACAGAGCATATCTGGATGAATATTTATAAAATAAAATTCTGCTTTCGGCAGTTCACAGTGGTTTTATTCTTTTGAAAATGTTTATATATATTTATACATATACATATATATATATATATATTAGCGTTTACGTCTTACCCATTATATTTGTTTTTCATATTCAATTAGCGGAGAAGAAGTTGTTTATGTGTTTGAGTTGAGAGAGTTGAATTGCAGAGAGGTCTGTGTAGATATTTCTATATGTCTCTCAGTCTGTAGCATTGTGTCAAGTAGACCATACCATATTCCTCTGAGGGCTGGGCGGTCTCATTTCGGTCATTTGTACAAGCCTCGCTGTGGTAAGACATGGTGACTTTAGTTGTCATTTCTCATGTGCATAACTTATCTACATGTCGTGAGACTGATTGTTCTGTTTCTATACATGCATAGCCGAACTGCTTTTGTGTTGCCTAATTAGACTTGACAGGCCATTATGTTTGAGCAAATATTTTGTTCTGATATTTTAGATTTGGTTTATAACCCTTGACATAGCAAAAAAGAGGGACATTACTCGTGTTTATTTAACCAATATGATTTATCGGTTGGAGAGTTGTTTATTTAAATTATAAACTGCTCTGTATTTTGGCCTCCCTTTGTAAGCTTTTGTGGCAGGTGTTTTTCCCAGTAGGCATGCATATGTACCTTGTTTTGTGATTTTGTTCTGTTTGTTGGTTTGATTAGTTGTTGTTTTTACAAAGTGATTTTATGCCTTTCTTTCTTGTTTTGTTTTATCTCTTCATGACTTTTCCTGCGTACCCTGTGCCTGTTTTGAACAAGTGGAACGTAGTGACTACCCATGTAAACCTACCCTCCCCGCTCCCCCAACCTCTTTTCTGCCTTGTTGAATTTTAAAGTTCCTATCGTTCGTCTTACCATAGTTTATTATACTGGATTGTGTTTTAAGTTTTGTTTGATTTGTATGTTGTTTTTTTTAAGGCTGTGGAGAAGTGTGACCTGAGTAGAATTGTGTGGTCCAGGCTGGCTGGAGTCACTGTAGCTAGAATAATTTTGCTGCACGTCTGACAAGGTCTTTCTGCGTGCCTTTTCATTAAAGTTCTTTGGTCTTGTACTCAGAGCAAATGTTTGTTGTGTGTCTCCTGTTGTCAATGTTCATCCAGCTGTATTGTTTGATCCTGTTTGTTTACTTTTTCAAGTTCGGGGTTTGTCCTCTGTACGCATGAATTCATGGGATGAAACTGGCAGCGAAATAGTATGTGTTGTTTCCTGATCCTCTCGTCCCCAGTTTTCTTATTTTACTTTGTGCTTCTGAATTCCTACCTTTTTGGTTGAGAAATGTTCCTCTTGGGCGAATGCATGAATGTCTCTTGTATGCAAGTTTCATGTCCAGTCTCCACACATTCTTGGTGCTAACTGTCCTCCCGGACAGACGTTCAACTTGCTTTGCAGCTGTTTCATCATCTATCCTTGTTGGCTTCTCTGGGGTTGGGTCTATGTTAACTCAACAGTCTGCATGGGATGTCTTCTGTGTGCTGAGTTTATTATATTTTTTTGTGTTCTTCTTGTGTTCTTGGACTTTGAATTGTTCGGTTTTGTTTTCCCCTTAGAATTACTTCTTATAAATAGAAATCGTTGTTCTGAAATGTCCTTGAACTTTAGGAGGACTCGAGCTGAAAGATTGGCATAGATGAAAGTATAAGACCTGTTTATGGATGAACGGAATTAATTATGAGCAAATAGTTATACCTATCAGTTTTATTATCTGCAGTTTAAACACCAGTTGTTTTATATTTGTTCTTAAGAATTTCGAGTACAATAATAATGTGACTGCTCGAATTTGAAGCTTTACTGTGTGAGCAAATGTGGTCTTAAAAGTTTCGAAGGAGCTCCTGCACAGTACAAAAGTGGAGACCTGTAAATGAGTGGCACACTCGGAGATATTTGATGTAGAATCTATTTGAAAAAAATTGACCCTTTCTAGAGATGTATATTTTGTTTTTCTTGTTCAGAATCAGCATCACAAGCTCCCCCATACAGAAGTTATTCGCATTACTACTATTAGGCAGTAGAGGACTTGAGATATAAGCAAATTTTCATAAAGCATATTATTATTATTATAATAATTATTATAATTCTATCTGTAAAGTTTTGTATTGCTCTTTTACCAAGTAATAGTGCATGGGTTTTTCATGTATTCATCTCATTGTATAAACGTTCTGCTCTTCTTGGCTGTCTGTGACACGAATTGTACATATAACGTTCGACAACTTCTCATGTTGCATTCTGTTGTGGAGGTAGAAAAAGCCTTGTTTCATTACTTTCGAGTAGATAGAATCATAATGCACTGTTACCAGAAATTATTGCAAAATAGGTGCCTTGATTTCATAAGTGCTGAAACCGATAATTTTATTAGATTATGTAAACGTTTCCATTTTTTCCTCAATTTTCTTTTTTGGGCTAGCAATGTTTATTTTCTTTTCAGGCAGATGAACTGAGGAAATAATAACGACGACAATTTATGAAATTCCAATTTTGATTTATCAGAAGCTTTAACAGCATCAACGACATCCACAAACAAGGTCGTTTGGATACTTTTCTTTGCTGTGGCCACAGTTGCTCTTGGGGATTGAACCCCTGCCTCGTTGTTGGCAGAACAAGCCCAGTGGGTACACGTGAACAGTCATCCCAGAAGTGCTGGTATGTTGTCAACTCCTGGTTCACCCAACAAGACCATTGGTCAAGGGCACGATCATCATCCCCCGAAGGACATTACCAGCGACTTAGAGCACTTCCAAGATCCACGACTTTTGCTTCACTATTTTCAACTTATATCATGCCCCTTTCAACTGCTAGTAAAATTGTCTTAATAAACTATGTTTATGCATGCAAGTGCCTCTTTTTGTGTTGTTTTTTTTTTCAAATCAATTACTTAAAATACATTTTGAACAGTCAGCAACAAACAGTGGCTTTCAACGGACAAATAAGTTTCAAAACAAATCATTCTCAGAAATTAGCTAATATACAAATTGGACTATTTGGACCATTCTGATCCCTCCCCGTCGTTTTATGCAAGAAAAATTCAGAAATTATGCAAACTGAGCCCAAAAATGTGAAATTATGCGATTCTGTTCATTTTAACAAAGAATGGTAAAGGAAAATGATCAGAAATTATTTTTAAAATGATCAAATTTTGCGAAATTATGCGGGGTGCATAAAAATCCACAGGGACAGTCTGATGGAAAGCAGCTGATTGTCGCAGTGCAGCTTTGGTTTCAATAGCTGACGATAATGGATTATCAAGATGAACTATGCTTCTTTTTCTTCTCCTCAATCACGTCATTCTTGAATACCAGCATGTAGGACACATCTGAGCTATGCTTATCTTGGTGACAGTTTTGAATTTCCCTCCATATCTATGAAAGTGAGAAGATAATTTCTAACTTCTGAGCTGAATATCAGAGGTGCCAATTTTCATGATATTAATGGAAATTTGGATTTCTGACATTGTCAGGATTTTGCCAAACGATTTATAGTTTGATTTCTTTGTGCATTTCATATTTCACTAATATACAAAAAGTAGTCTTGATACAAGATGTATTAGACAGTTTAAATTCGTAACTTTTTATTCTAATTAAGCAAATTATTACAGGGTCTGAAAAATTCAGGATTTTTTTTTTTTTGCAGCCACCAATTGCATTAGCTAATCCATTTATTTTATTACTTTTAATGCTCTCTGTTATTTTTCAAGCATAAACATACAAAATATAGATCCACCCTTTTTTGTCTTTTCTATGAATTGGGAACTCACGAGGTTTACAATTTTCACTATGTCATCCAGTTCTTACTGCTTTCCCTTACCCCTGAACTGCAAAGTGACATTGGTGAAATCTTTACCCTAAAAAGAATGTAGGTGTTTTTTTAATGCCCCCACCGACGAAATTTAGATCATTTAGGAGGCAGGCTTCCGACCCTGCCTGTCAGAGTCAACCTGGGCTGAGAGGGATACTACATCTATAGCAGAAAGACCCAAAGATACTCGATAAAATTTTTCTCCACACTTGGAATCACACGCAGGTCTGCGTGCGAAGTGCCTATACCACTACCCCATACGCCAATAAGCTTTACGCTGACCAAATTTATCTCAACGAATTTAATTTTTTTTAAAGGGCTTTGAAAAACAGACTGCATTGAGTGAGCTGAAGAGATTGATGGACTTTTCCACTGGAAAAGTTGTGCTGTCCTATGAGGAGATGCAAGAAAACAGTTCCAGAGGGGGGGGGGGTTGTTTTTTGGTTTTTTTGTGGGGGGCTAATTTTTGTACCCGACTAATCCAAATAGATGTATACGCGCCACCACATGTAGCTAGACGGCAAAGTATAGGGCATAATAGCAAGAAATCTTGTTGTGATCACAAACATCACAACTCGCCGCAGATAGCAGGGCTGTTCCATTTCTAATTTCTAAAGTGGTGTGCCTTATCTGCCTAAACATACGATAAGTTGGTTAAAATTTCTTATTGTCTCGCGGTGGATAGCAGACGAAGAAATCACTACAAACATTTAAAATCCATCTAATAAATTATGTACAACAGGGGCTCTCATGCTGTTGGCGTACGATGTTTGCATATATATATATTCACGGAACCTGATGACGAAAAAAAAATTCTCCCAAAGCACTTTTTTTCTGTTCTCTAGCCTTGCTCAGTCACCTGATTACATATCCATTTTCTCCCTCACCTGCGGCTTCGTTTCTTCTCTCTCCCGAACTCCTGACTTTTTTTTTTTTAGTTCTCCAATTTTTATTGCAGCCTTTCAGTTTCAGCCACACCCTTGATCTTGGCTTTAGTAAGAGTTTTACGGCACTTTCAAACCAAATAGTTCATATATAAGATAAGCGCCGAAGATTTGAGGTGGCACAAGTGCGTAACATACATATATATATATAAAAGAAGGGGAGAGATTTAAAGGATGATAGATATTTGATAGGAAAGAAAGAGCAAACCACATCAAAGCACCCACCAACCACCCACCCCCTGATCTCAGGGAAGGTAAGATTAAACGCCTATCCTTCTCGGATGAGGGCGAAAAATATCGGGGGTCCCCTGTGCAGGTTGCAAACATTAAAATCCTGGACTGAAAGTGAACGTTCAGAAGCGATAAATCCGTGCCTATCCCTTAGAGTCGACAACCGAACGCGAGAAAGTCCAGCATCAAACTCTGCAAAGAAGAAAATCATCTGTCAGACCTCAAATATTCCCCAAACATAAAGGGAAAATGGCTGAAAAAAAAATCTCTCAACTGTATGGTAGGTCTACAATATATAATATATAATAACGAAGCAGACATACTATAGCCTATCGAAAACAACCATAACAATGAAATACACAAAGAGTTAGTAATACATTCTTGTAGACAGTACTTGAAAATTCTTTCGTTGTAATAAAAAGAATTAGCAAAAAAGCACGACATACAGGAAATGCTTCGGGGAAAAAGCAGAAGTATAACTCATTACATGGCACCTTCCAACTACCACCAGTACATAAAGAGACTAGTATGAGAGTCCGTACAGTATTTTCAGTGCCAAGAACAAAAGCCAGAAACTCCATTGGCACAGTACACTCATACACGTAATTCAATTCCTCAGCATCACAACTTTTTGACTGATTAAAGATTTACAATAAAGTGAAACGTTGCTGAGTTCAAACCAACGCAGAGACAATGATATGAGCACCAACACTCTCTGTATAATATTATAGCCTATCCTCCAAAAAAAATAAATAAATAAATAAATAAATAAATAAATAAACAAACAAACAAAACAGGCAATAGATCTATATTCCAGTTAAAGGATAGAAAATCATTCACACCCAACCGGTAATCCAACCTTGAACCTCTGCACGGTACACGTCAAATTCATGACCTGTTATAGTACATTATTTATTAAACATAGTGGATATGTGCACTGTATATTTTAACATAAGAGGACAGAGATACAGTTTCAAACAAAACTTAAGCAAATCCCCTGTCTGCAAAGACTCTTTTTGTCTATCTATGGGATCGAATATGACTTTGTGACTTTTCCTAGCTAAACATAATTAGTGAATTTATCATGTCTGAACCGTGACATGAGAGTACAAGCCTATTTTATATTCAGGGCTGATCATGGTACAGCACAGGGCTTTGGCGGTTACAGTACAAGGGTTATGTGAGATTTAAAACTCTCAATGTACAAGAAATGTATGCATAAAAAAGAGGTTCAAAGTTTGACCTTCATTCAATACACAAACTACAACGATAATTTGGATCATCCACCTCGATCAGAGTTCACCATAATATGTATGGAACAGCTCAGCTAACGGGAGGCCCGAGATATAGATAAACAGATTGACTGAGAGAGAGGAGAGAGGGAGAGAGATATTGAGAGATATATACTTGTATTTAGAGAGAGAGAGAGACAGACAGACAGACAGACAGACAGACAGACAGACAGACAGACAGACAGACAGACAGACAGAGAATTTATTTTGAGCCGGGAAATAATAAAATAAATAAAAACAACAGGCACAACAACAAAATTCTAATAGAGTGTGAAATAAGTGGTAGTGTGACTTACGGATCAATGTTACACACAATATCTCATGTTTCCCGAATATCTCCCTTTACGGGAGAGGTAAAAAAAACAAGAATATTATAGATTAGGTTTTGAGCCTTACAAATATGTGAGGTCACCAGTTCGCCTTAAGTTTTGTACTTAAGGCGAACCCCTCACATCATGTGTTTGCTCTGCCCAAAATCTCATTTATGTTGTTTTCTCCCCTGGTCGGAGACAAGAAAATAATAATATAACTACACAATACGAACTTGAAATTACAGTTGAATACAGGTAGATCATAATTTTATGGACAATTAAAAAAAAAATTTAATGTCAATGATTGATTGTGAGACATTGATAGGAAAATGTCACACCCTTCCCCCTTTTGTAATGTCTTCTTCTACTCTTTCTCCTTTTTTCCCCCTTTCCGTGCATAAAAGTCTTATGCCACACGCCCAGGTTTCGAAGTTCATAGTTCTGTTCTTTTGTCTTCCGATTTGTATTCTCCCAACGTCAAGTCCTATTTTCTGCCTCGGTCCTTTCGGAGATAGCCGTTAAACTCGGAGGTCCCGCCTTTTAATTAATCAAAAACACTAATAATGTTGATAGGGGCGTTAAACCAATACCATTTCTCATTTGACATCGTAAGTATTGTTGGGCATTTGTGTGTGTGCCTGGAGAAAGGTCCGGGTTGTCGGCAAAGCTATTTTGAGCAACAGGGTGAAAAGGCCAAAACATTTGTACAGGTCAAAAATGTTGTTGCATCAGAAAACACACGCAATTTCTTAATGACGTATTGAAAGGATTTTATAATATTGAAAGCTTAATTTTGTTATTAGTTATTTGTGTAGCATGTTGTGTTTCATCAGGGGTTAAAATGTGCTAGAAATTAATTCCTGTTGTTTTTTTCCTCCGAACTTTGTTTTTACACTCTATGTTGTAAAAAGCGGCGAATCTTTAAAACTGCTAGAGCTAGGCCTATTTGAAAAATCATTTAAAAAATCAGCGTATTCAGCACTGAATTGGCTACAGGAATATTATGCCCTTATTTCAATTTCCAATATTTCCGACAACTGGGACGTTAAATTCTCCAGGTACACACACACATGCTTTGATGAAGAAGAAACGTTGGTATGTCTTTATGCCTTATTTAGACTAGGCTACTGTGTAGGAGCCTATTATGTAGAATAAATGTTTCTATCTGTTCACTTCAGGCCTAGGCCTAGCTTCAGGCGTATACGATTTTGCTACATACAAAACGAAAAGAAAAATGTTGTCTCATGATAACATCACGGGCTACT